TTGGACGAAGTCCCTGCCTAGGCTTGTATTTGGATATCCCAGAATTAAACCTTGCTTTTGCATTCCGGCATGCTCGTCTTTGGTGGTCTCTCTGGGGGTCACGATCTGGGCACAACACTATAGTATTATGAATCCACAGATACGAGGATCATTATGTAGTAAATGATTCTGTACCATTGAAATCTCAAAGTACTATTATCAGTTAACAAAAAAAGCAACAAAAATACCTCCAACAACAAAACAGAAATTTTTGTGGAGACAACCCCAGACTGATTAAATAGTTTCTTTTAAACATAGATAACATTTTTTTTAGCACAGTTTTATGTTTGTGGCAAAATTAATACAAGTGCAGGAAGTTCCTATAGCTCCCCTTCCTTCTGCATTATCCATTCCCCAAGACTGAGTAATGCGTTTGGTATAATGTATGTATCTACATTGCCACCTTATTGTGCCCTCATTTCCACACTTTATTTTAGGGTTCCTTCTGGCTGATGGTGCACACCCTATGGGCTGACAAATATACCCTGACCTATATCTCTCACTGTAGTGCCTTGTTTAGTCTCACAGCCTAAGAACTCTGGGCTCCTACTGTCCTCTCCTCTCACATCTCTTAACTTCTAGTCTTTTCACTGTCTTCAATGTTGACACTTGCCTTTTCAGAATGTCCTATGGTTGGAATTATGCAGTTGCTAGCTTTTTCATATGGCTTCTTTTGGTTATCGATATGCATTTAAATGTTCTTCCTGGCTTTTCATGGTTTTATAGCTAATGTGTTTTCAATGATGAATACTGTTCCTCTGTCTAGATTTATTCCCTCAACTTAGTTGTTTCCAAGCTTTGCAATTAAGACTATATCTGCTAAAAACATCTCTGTCTAGGCTTTCCTGTGCACATGCTTTTCTGACTCTGGGTAAACATCAAGGAGTCATGTCATGAGACAGACTTTTCCCCTTGTGTCTCTGAAGTCTTCAGTACAAGTACCCTTTCTCCTGAAAACATCCTAATGGTGCCCATCCTGCCTGGATGGGTCTATTTCTTACCATTCTGTACCCTCTCCTTGTCATTCAAGTGGCAGGGCCCTACAACCATCTTTAGCAGTCCAGGGTCTCAACTATCGGGTATAATTTCCCTAAGTCTCTACACTGAGTACTTTTCCCCCTTTATTATCCACAGTCACTTTCTGCCCTGGACCCTAGTCTCTGTGGGTCTAGGTCATTGTTAGGAGACTGAGAAATAAATCCGTCCTACTGAGCTGATGGCTGGCATTGTTATTCCTCCAAGGTATGAGATTTACATTTTAATGGGAGCAGCACTTTACACTAGGGTGGGCAGTTTGTAGAGGAGCTTTAAGCCACCTGGCTGATTAGTTATTTGGGGTCTGGCGGCTTTATGAACTGCCGAAATCCTGCTCTGTGATTGACTGTTTCCTCTCTCTTGAATAAGAGCCACACCTGTGAGTTTTCATTCACCTAGTAGGAGGAAAACTTGGAAAGCCTAAGGGAAGACATAAATTTACCTCAGTTATTCTTTTAGCAAAATGGGAATGTACCAGCCTGTGCTGCTCAAGACTCAAATGTAGATTCAGGCCTTTGTTTTCCGTCTTGTGTAAGGCACCTAGAAGACAGATCTGTGAACTGAAGGATGAGATTTAAAACACACACCATCACTGAATGAATAGGTAAATCGGATTTTTCAAGAAATCCCTTTGGGGAAGTTTAACTTTCGTTTATACCGTGTAAGCAATTTTTATTTCGCTTCTTAACATGATTTCGTAACACGTACCTTAACACAAACAGAAAGCTTTCTTCTTTACGAAGCACTTCTCTGGAGTGAAATCATCTTGGTAACATTACGTTTTGTGTAGCATGTGAAAAGAAAATCCTGGAAACACATGTTTATTTTTTCCAGTTCCTGACCACTGTGTTTGGAAAAACTGCCAAGTGTGACTTAAAACTTGCAAATGCAGTAACTTGCTTTGAAATTTGGGCCCATAACATCTTTGGCTGTTATTTGTAGAAAAGGAATTGTTATGTTAACTTTGACTTCTGACCACTCTGCTCTTCAGAAATCAGTTGCATGCAGATTAACAGTGAGTCCAATGAATGGGTACACTAAACGGAACTGACAGTCCTTAATACACAAATACTGAACGGGGGACATTATCAATTTTCCAAGAAGTACTCTTTATGCGTTTTTACAGGCTCACCAGAGCAGTCTTAAAGGAAGGACATTGAAACCTTGGCAGGCTTTCTCTGTCTCTGCAAAGTTCACATCAAGGAGGGTGGTAAATAGTGTAGAGTATGGGAAAAAGGAACCCGTCAGCATTGTTTTCTTTTAAAGATGAAAAGAGAGTTCCAAGGAAGAGCCCCATAATCTTTGAAATATGTGCATGCTGTTTAATCAATTTAAACAAATGACTGCTGCAGACTTATTATTCCCTATAACTAGACAAAATAACTCACTATCTACTATCTCCAATTCTTTAAAAAGGTAACTGCTTGTTTTATTGAAGGCAAATTTTATTTCTATTTTACCTACGTTGCTAGTTATAGGTAGAGTGGGATAGATGAGAGTTTTGAATTTTCAAAATTAAGGAAGGATGTAATACACACACTCGCACACACCAGAGTCTAAATACATCTGTGTTTATTTTTTCAAAATACAGTAGTAGTCATTAAATTTTTCCTTCTAAGCTCTGCACTTTATCTCAAAGACACTTGTCTGTTAAGTATTAACATATTAAAATATTTTTGTGTGTTTTGTGGACAGGCATCACGGCTACACATTTTTGACCATCACGATAATACAAAAATGTTTGTAAAATTCTCTGTGATCAAGCAGTGGCCATCAGTGTGCTTATGCTCTAAAGCTTGAGGTAGCTGTTGAATGATTTATCCGTTGTCTATGCAATAAGAATTAACTTTAAAAACAACACAATACTTTAGGGGTTTTGACTTCTTTCGGGTGATAAGAATTGTTAGGCTGCACTGTGTCTTCATGTTATTGGTGTTAATATTCTGACCCACCTTGAAATCCCACCCCTTGGGGCTGCCCTGCATCCTGACGGGAAAGGAAAAAACCCTCCACTTCCTCTCTCTCTCTCTCTCTCTCTCTCCACTCCCAAGAGGTGTGTACCCCTTAAGCCCCCCCTTTCTCTTCTCTCCCTCTTTCCTATCTCTCTTTGTCTCTCTATTATAATAAACCATTTCCTCACATGAACATGTGGTCAGGTGCTATATTTGATAGGGGCGATCATGTGGTCAGGCAGCACCATCTTAAATAAGGGCAATCACATGATCAAGCCACCATCTTAAATAAGGGCAATCACATGGTCAAGCCACCATCTTAAATAAGATCAAAATGGACAGATCATATGACCTCACCACTATCTTTATACTAAGGGCCCTGGGAAGTCACTTCCTGACTCAAATTATGGGCGGGGCATGCGGCACTGAGCCATCTGGCTGGGATGGAGGTTTAGTCACGCCATTCACGTGGGCAGGGCCTGGAGTATCCATTCCTCTCTGGGGCATCAGCAGAACCACATGCAGGCAGTATCGTGATATTAAGATTATAAATTTCAGGGTTGGGGTTTAGCTCAGTGGTAGAGCGCTTGCCTAGCAAGCGCAAGGCCCTGGGTTCGATCCTCAGCTCAAAAAAAAAAAAATTATAAATTTCAGATTTTAATATTAATACAATTCTGATATGCTTTGGGTCACAAACTCAGCATTTTCAAAGGATTTTAAATTTTCCTTGGTTGCTCTCTTTTTTTTTCCCCCCAAAATAAACTGAACAGATAAGTAACATATAAAGTGAAGTATTTAAAAGTCAGTCAGAAAGAAGTACAGGTGGCCACATCAATCATACATTTCATTCACACATAGGAAATAGACTTTGTGAAAGAAAGACAGAGAAAAGTTTGTTGGGAAACATTTACAGTTAATATATTGGAGTTCAGAAGAAATGGAGTAGCAATGAAGTAGCGGGAGAGAGGGACTCCCCCAGGCTATGGCACGGTGCAGTGGCCGTGGTGAGGGTGCGGGTCTGTGCTCCGCCTGGCTTGACCCAGCAGTATGAGATTTGTGCCACTCATCCACCACCCCTTTCACTTGGCAGCTAGTCGGGGGAGTGGGGGCCTCAGCGCTGCTATTCCACAAGTCCTCAAACACCTGTAGAGATCTGAGAATATGACATTTAATATAATAGCTTTTTATGATAGACATGTCAATTCCTGGCAGCATCCTGTATCTCCCCCAAGAAGATGATGGCCGCAGAAGAACTTGGAAGCTCATGGCAAGGCTGGCCATGCAGTGAGAAGCTGAGATCCTGTCCAGACTGTGAATAAGTAGAACAACGGAGGACCGATTGCCCCATAGTGCAAAGTCAACGTGGGTCAGTCTCTCCAAATTTCTACTCCACAGAAAAAAATTTGTCAGATCTTCTGGGCCTATCAGCTGAACAAGTGCTGCCTTTGGGTCTTCTGTCCCCAACGACCAGGGAGAGACTTGGGATTGCTGCCAAGGTAGCTGGAAAGCTGTCTTACTTCTTAAATTTATCCTTCTTGGATCTAACAATGTTTGATGACTAAGGTATCAGTTTAACAGCCCCAACCCCAAGATCATACACACACACACACACACACACACACACACACACACACACACACACACACGCTCTCCAATTACAGACAGGTGTGCATCATTCATAGACTTCATGGTACAGGATAGACTGGTTTCAGATATAATTCCAGAGGTTCAAAGTTTTAATATTGATAAATGTAGCTTTGATAAAGTGATAGGACATTGACTACAAAGAGTTAAGAGTCCGTAAATGGATTTTTAACCCTTTTGACATGATGTAAATCCATTCTAGCTGTCTTACAGATACCTACAGGCTCCTGGGAAAAGTTTTGCTACTGAATCAAGAAATCTGGTCTGATGAAAGCTAACAATCTCCAGAGCCCATTCTGACCCCACCTATTTTTTGAGCATATTTTGCAGATTTACTGTTCCAGCCTGACCTCCAGAGAAACAGCAGATGCCATGGCTTCTATACTCCTGATTTGGCGTGCCATTTTCCTGGAACACCACTGCTGCAACCTGCCTCCCTGCCTCCTCAGCTCCCTCAAGGAACGTTCCTGAGATTGACTACTGTGTGTGACTCCCGGTTCCTCCTTCCCCACTTCAGTCTCGGGAATTCAGTGCCCTTGTTCCCCACTTGCTTTTATCACTCACCTCTTTTTATAATAATCAGCATGGAGGAATGTTAATATTCTGACCCACCCCTTGAAATCCAGCCCCTTGGGGCCTCCCCTTCCTCATTCTCTCTCTCTTCACTTTCATGAGGTGTGCACCCCTTGACCCTCACTTTTCTCTCTCTTTCCTATTTTCTTTTCATCTCTCTGTTATAATAAACCATTTTCACATGGATGCGGCCTCTGGCTTGTGAATGTTCACCCACCACCCCACTGCTGCCATGTCCCCATGGCATGGGTTGCCCTCCAGTCCCCTGTTGCATCTGCCCAGCATGTCAGCACGTTTCCCTGCACACACAGAATATGGGGTCCCTGGTGCATAATTCATAGCAATTGGTACCTAATGATGAAAAGAAGGTAGAAGGATTTGACTGTTAAGATGGCCTATCTGATACCCATTGGTGTACATACTGTGATAGTGTTGATATGACAAAGTTTATTTTACATGTGTTCAGACAGCAACTTCCTCTTCTTCTTCTTCTTCTTCTTCTTCTTCTTCTTCTTCTTCTTCTTCTTCTTCTTCTTCTTCTTCTTCTTCTTCTCCTCCTCCTCCTCCTCCTCCTCCTCCTCCTCCTCCTCCTCCTCCTCCTCCTCCTCCTCTTCTTCCACTGTGTAGCCCTGCCTGGTCTAGAACTCACTGTATAGATCAGCCTGCCTTCAAACTCACAGAAATCTGTCTACCTCTTGTCTGGCTTTTTTTTAAAAAACATTTTTTCCTTAGTGATTTATTTATTTTTATTTTATGTGTACTGGTGTTTTGCCTTCATGTATGCCTGTATGAGAATGTTGGATTCCCTGGAACTGGAGTTACAGATAGTTGTGAGCTGCCATGTGGGTACTGGAAATTGAACCCAAGTCCTCTGGAAGAACAGCCAGTGCTTTTAACTGATGAGCCATCTCTTCAGTTTGGCTTGTTTAAAGGTGGAAACTCTAAAATGACTATGCATCAATTAAGGGCCTTATTAAGATGCTGATTATGGTTCAGTGGGTCTGTAGCACAGCGAAAGTTCTAGTATCTAAGAAGTTTCCAGAGGCCATGCTTTTCGCACTTGAATAACACAGTGAGGCACTCTAGTGCTTTGCCTCCTTTTTCTAGATTTTTCCTCTGGAAGTGGTTTTGTTCTGTACATTTTCTTTTCTCTTGGTAAGGTCTGTCCTTTTCTAGACTTTTCTGCCTGTGGTAAGGAGATGAGCTGACTTAAGATGCCAAGAGTAGGCAAGAAGCTGTGTTTGTTTGGTGTGAACAGAAGCCACAGTCTTACCAGGAAGCATGGGACACCATCAGATGGCTTCTTCTGATCACGTTTTCCCTTTCCCCACTGGCTCAGCTGGGAAGAGAAGCAAGTTTAACTATCAAGGTGAGACTAGCAATCCTGGTTTCTTGACTTTGAGTAGTTTGCATTCTAGAAGAGGGAGACAAATGATGAACATATATAAAATGTATGGCATATCAGATTGGTTGCTCAGTGTTTTGTTGAGGTGGATAAGGATGAATGTCACTAAATGGAATAGCCAAATATTATCTAAGATGTGATCAACTGACTGTAAGGGATGGGTGCTCAAAAGATGTTAATTCTTTAATTCTCTGTCTCATGCCTTCAAGGTGTGTCCTGTATTGCTTCTTTCTCTCCTGCTCTGATGGCTCATGACTATTGTGTCTCCTTGGTTGTAGTTCACAAGTTCAATGGCATTTAGAAATACTCCACTGGGGTCTTACCAGGTGTGGTCTTTACTTTGGTGTGACATATAAACTTTCCATCGTCAATGACAGATGATAATCTCCTTGAAGAAGTTCACTTGTTCTGGAAAATAACTCAACGGAAAATTAAATAAAGGTTATACTGATGAAGACAGGCAGGGAAGGCTTTTAGCTCCTTCACGGCCCAATGTTCCCTGGGGTCCATAGATTCTTCAAAGTGACAGAGTGAATTCTGGAAATTCTGGGATGATTGGCTTGTTGGAGTGGATTGCATAGGATCCAGCAAGTACTCAAGAACTGCTACTTTATTTTTTTTAATAAATAAGAAAGCCAATGATATTAAATGTTAATCTGGCATTGTGTCCTGAACAAAAGGCACTTAAGTGTTCTTTCTCATTCTGGACCACTCTTCATGGTGCTGCAGGGGAGTAAGCTTCCGGTTTAAATGAGTGACATGCTGTTATGATCCTCACCATCAGCTCGGGTCTATTAGTATGTATACCTTGGTCTTAAGGGGAGACTCTCTTCCAGTGTTCTGTAATTGTACAGTAAATTAGACTTGTCGCACTTAGATGGGGTTTTCACAGAGTCATCAGCGAGTCACCAAAGAACTTATTCTGAAATCCACTGTAATAGCTATTTGTTTTAGGATTGACTCTTTGCTATTTGAATATGTCTTTCCTTTTGTTTTCATTATAAATGTATTACACACATTTCTGGGTCAAGATTAAAATAATGTCCAACTAACTGAGCTAATTTGGCACTGTGACACACACTATTCTAAAGGGTTTATGCTCTGAGTCTCTTACTCAGGGATTTACAATGGCCAGCTGAAATTCTCTTGACTCTTTGATTTCTTCATCTATAAACTGGGCAGAGCACGTCACTCCTACAGAGGCTGTGACCATCAATTAGGTATTTGTTTAAATGGCTTTGATAGCTTGAAAGAATGACCTTTTATAAAAACAGGATACATTGTATTTATCCTTGCAGTATTTTCTTGATTCTAATTATAACTTACTCTTTTCTATCTCACAGAAGGAGAACAGAAGAGGGAAAATGCAAGTACAGAAACTGGCTCTTATTTCCATCACAAAAAAGATTTTACAAAGCTGTGGGAGAATGTCACACTACTGCCCAGACTGATCCTGGGTCGGTCTAGTATTAACTTACCATGTAAACACAAGAGAGCGTATTCCTTCCAAACCTCCTTGACACTAGGGGAAAACTACTAGTTGGTGTAGGATTCAATCTATATAAACTTAAAACTCAGGAGCCATCATGATGAGAGGGCCTTTTTGCAGATCTTTTATTTTAATAATTACATCCTTTCCTAGGCAAGGAAATGGAGATTTTGAGTTATGGGACATTCCCCAAACTGCAGCTATTGTTCTAATCTCATTACATTGATTATTATTTTGTATATGGAATGGCTGTTGGATGCTAAAATCATCATTTCCAAAATAAGTAATAAAACTAAAATGAGTCTTAGTGAGCCATGCTGATATTTTGACATCCTTGTTGGATAGCAAGGGAATATGATTTATTTGATGTAAGTTTCCTTCCATCTGTGTTATTAGGGTCCTTGTATCTTTTAGTGTTCTGGGGTTTAGAGGTGGGCACTGGCCAACTTAAAAATAATGAAAAAAAAACCCACATATGTAAGTAAGGAGGTTGTTGGAGAGCTATAAGGTAACCACTTACATATACATAAGGAAGAAGACAAACAGCTAGCATTCAGAAAATTCCAGAACAACAGAACTATGGGGATCCATGAACAGAGCTAAAGGAGAGTCTACTCCTGGTCCCAGGGCAGACACAGTGCCCAGCTCCTGTATCTTGTCATCCCAAGGAAAGCTTCCTATTTCAGAGCCAAAGGCTCTGACTAGACTGTCCAGGAAGACAGTCCTATACTTGAGTCAGGTAAAGATGGATGGATAGGAAATGAATGGAACATTTGATGGACAGAGTGCCAAGATTGTCCAGGATGCATATGGAAGGGAAATAATTGCTTGTCCCAAACTAAAACAAACCAACAAATAGCCTTACTTCCACACCCAAAAAACCAACAAGAAGAAAGTAAAATACAGGAAAAAAGAGCTTAGTTACCAAAAGGGGGGCCAGAACAGAGGCAAATATACGTGTGTCCTGAGAGAACTTCCCGTTGCGAAGCGACTGAGAGTCAAATTGGCTGGTGGCATGTAGTCTTAGTGCTTAGACGCTTTTTGCTGCTTTATTTATCCAGTTATATTTAGGTTTTCGTATTTCATTCAAATCAGCAAGAAATACTACAATAATAATAATAATGGATTATTCAATTGGGTTGCACACAGATTCATTAGCTCATTAATTCACTTTATCATATGGCCATGAGCTTTCTAGAAGAAAACCAGAAATTGATTTATATTAATGACATTACATGACCTGTGGAGTTGTGGCTCCCTAGGAGCTTTATCAGAAGGTGGGCTAAAAATCAATTCCTCTGTCTCTACCTTTTCTTACCAGCCTCTCACCTCACTCTTTCCTTCTGCATCAGCTGGAGGGGCCTTAGCCTTAATGGGTGAGCAAGTAAAATGGTAAAGAACTGGGCTGAAGAAAATGTGTTATCGTATTAACAAGCAGCTTACTTGTTTGGCTTACTGAAGCTAGCCATAACTTCAACTAGTAGGGACCATATCTATTTGGGGATAGATATCTCCTCTTGATTTTAAAAACGAACATTCTGGACAAATGTGGACTAGACAAATAAGAACACTCATTGTGGGAAATAATAAATATGGAAATGCATGCAGCTAGCTTCTTAGCTTAACTTTGTTGGAACATTTTTTTCTGAATGTATGACATATAATAAAAATTGAAAAACTGATTTCAGTAAGCTATACCAAATAATTGTATACTGCCATGTTGTCTTGGGCTAAGGGGGTTGGGGGAGAGTTGATATGTGATCAACAGAGGCCAAGTGGCCCTACTAGGAACAGTGTGTTCTGTCAGAGTTTAAACATCTGTGAGTATGAATGTAAGGACTAAAAATCAGGAAGACCTTTTATGTTGGTGTAATTTCTGCATCTTCAAATTATCTAAATTCTTAAGATTCTTTTGGGGCAACTTTTGGGAGATTAAAAAAACTATTTAAAACAATATTTACATATATAGTTTCAGTTTTTTTAAATATGGAATTATTAAGTCTGAAAGGAAAGTAACAGAATTCTATTTTTGTATAAACAGGTTCAATGTTTTTATTTGGACTGTTGAGCTCACATAAAAGTATGAAACTAATGACTTTCAAAAATTGCACAAACTTTATATACTTGATTGTGGGTTCTGTTCATGACATTGCCTGCTGATTTTGATTTTATGGTTTTCTGTTACATTCATGTTCAAAAGGCTTATGTCTTCCTCCGTTTTAAAAAAATCTTAAAGCCAGCTTCCAGGACACTCCCATCTAGTGAACCAACTCAGTTCAGAAGGAATTCTAG